CATCGTTTGGAAACTGGTCATGACTTTAATTGGAATGATGTAAAAATCTTAGACATTGAGAAATTTTTTTATAAGAGATTAGTTTCTGAAATGCTCCACATTAAGTTGCAGGACAATTCGTTAAATGTTATGTCGGATACTGACAGTTTGTAGCCTTATTTCTCTTTTCTTGAATTATATAAATCTAATGTTTAGACTGTCTCCTTTATAAACATGTTTTTTGACCTATTGCGAACTTTTGATCTTCTGATCATATAGTGGGGGATATTTCTATATATTTACTTGTCGTTACGTTTTCTTGTCAGTACACAGAATTTATTTTCCATCGTTTTTACCCGATTATAACACCATTTATTATATTGTGGTGATGTTGTGTTTTGTGATGCTGTTTTAATTGAGTGAGTTTATTTAAATTGTTATTTTCTAATCTTTTTGTTGTTATTTTTGCGCTAATTTTGTAATATTTTCATCAGATGTAATATTGTACACTGAGGAAGGTCCAACCTTGCGGACCGAAACGTTTGTGATCTTTTTTTGAATAAAAGTTTATTATTTATACACGAAGACCCTGTATTACTGCTCGTATCGGCCTTTTAACTAATTTTGATCATCTCACGAGCGATTGATTGATTAATAATATGTCTTTTTGTCAATGTGTCCTCTTGAAACCCAACGTTTTAGTATTTCACTAAGACTTGATTCTATTTTTTTAATAGGGTTGCGTTTGACAATTTCATATGTGTTAGAGTTCTGTAATAGGGACTTCATTTTTTCTAAATAAATATCTCTGTCCATAGCAACCGTTATGTTGCCCTTATCCGCTCGTGTAAAAATAATCTCCGGATGTTGTTTCTTATAAGCAATGCACGATCTGTATAACTCAATCATTTTATTATTAAAAACAGAAGTTTGTGTTTTGTTTTGAAAGAAATTCTGTAGTTTTGGGATCACATTGTTCCTGACTTTTGATTTTGATTTTATATCATAATTTCTTATGTTACATTCAGTGTCCTTGATAAATTCATGTATGTGAATTTTTTGACGTTATTTAGAACTTTTGATGTTATATAAGCATTCTTATAAAGTTTGAAAGTGTATAAACTCTCAGAAAATTCTCATTAAACGGTTATCAACGCTCTGTAAAGCTTCTTATTTTCGTCAGGGATGTGGGGTGTTACACAGTGAGAGCTTTTCAGCTACGTACAGACGGCGTCATTAATTCGAAGAATAGGCGCGGGGATCGGAGGGCAAGCGGGGCGGTTGCTCGTAGCGCCAACGGGCGCCGTACTAACTAACTAGTAGCAATCGGGTGTCCACAACTGGACACCCGATTTTGGGACTACTGGATATTTGGATCAAC